CAGTAAGATTCACTTTCAGTGAAGTAATCGTAAAGATAACAGACAATGTTGATGGAAGTGTTGATAAACCACTAGATGATACAACAGAAATACAAAAAAAAATGAATGAATTCAATGACCTTGCTATTAATAAAATACTTATCGTTTTGAATAAGAATATATAGGTAGTAAACAACGTTATAAAATTAAGCATATCAACTTTCTATTTTTAAGATACATCTAGACTTTACCAAGGCGTTTGATTCACCATAATTTTTATCTACGTAAATTAACTAAGAAAATGTCTCTAGTAACTTCAAAAAAGTCTCATTAGCACGTGTCACATTTAAGACAGTTTCAAGCTAAAGTATCCTACCATGCCTAGCAAAGAAAAAAGACAGCCTAACAACACGCCAGAAACACTACAATTAACTGTACAATTCTAGAACATTACATTACATAACGGAGCCCCTGAAAGACAACCTCACGATGCTGAAACTAATGCACTTAAAGTAATACAAGTTATTACAAATATAATGCTCAGCAATGACGCGAGAACTACATTGTTTGCAAGTGTTATGAGGCTCATTGTAAATGTAAGTGGTTCTAGGGAACATAATAGGGTGTAGAGTACATCCTTATTTGAAGCCTGTTGTACTTTAAGATGGGAAAAGATTTCCTTTAGCTTTGATGGAAATGTTTTAAAGTTGGTGTTGGTACTTCCTAGTAAGGAAATGGCATTACGAAAGGTCCTGTTGCCTTTCTAATAAGAAGTGCTTATTCTTCTTTCGCCGGTGTGACTTTTGCTATATTATCTTCTTACCTCTGTCTAATTTTTAATATCTATAGCATGTATTATCTCATTAAACATCCTTTTTTCATTCACACCCTCTTTCATTCCATCAGTTATATAATCTGGCTTAGTAAATTAGCTAATTTCATCCACCTTCACAATAGCATCAATGTCATGCTCATAAGAGTTACAGATGTGTATAATAACTATCTACTTATAGCGGAAAACAACAAGTAATATGATTTTAACTGCCTCAGCCGTAGAGAACACGACTTTAATACAATGAGATCTATAGAAATCTTTGTTAAGGTATGGCGCCACACTTGTCTTGATAAATGCATTTAACTAACTTATATTTCATGCGAATGCGTCTTTAGTTTAGTGGGTGTGGTTTTTCGCTTCGATTTGGTTTATATTTGCACGTCATTTAGAAATGATAAGGGAACTTTAAGATCATCATCAGCCTGTTGCATGGCACATGCTACTGCTGTGATGTGACCTCCTCTACACAGGGGTTAAACCATTTGATACTAATAACTATTTATACTAAATTGAACCCCATGTCTTTCTGAAATTCCCAATATTTACATATTGTTTTTCTTATCGTTCAGCAGAGGAAACGAGGCTTGATAATGTTTAATCGGATTAAATCTATCAATCATGATCGTTCGGTCATCATGACCTGGTGATGCTAATCTGTGAGTCTGTGACGTTGTAACATATGTTCATAGACATACGTAATATTGAGTAATTAAGTGACATAATAAAATAATATCATAGCTCTCTATAGAATGGTAGGAGGTGCACCTGCTAATAGTAATTTTACGCTACTTTAACATGATCTGATTCTAATAGACGTTAAATAAAAAAACACATCCCAGAATCAGTTGTAAAATACTGAATATTTTAGGCTTAAAAATTTCCCCTCATTACCATTACAATTTCTAAATATTTGACCAAACTCGATAATTCATTTACTATAGTCAACTCGCTATTACGATTGCGGTAGTGTCTAAGTCTACGTTCAAATGATTATAACATACATTATTCCATAATCATCAAGTTACACCTTGTCCTCACCTCCGGAACGCCTTCAAAATGATATTTACATTATTGTTGTTTGCGATTTCCTTTGCCCGTACTACTGACACATTTATCACAATTTATCAAACGCCTGACATAATTGTGATAACATTACTTTGGTCTGCGATAATCTTTCCTATGAGTACACCGTGAACTACTTATGGGGAAGGTGACACGATGCCATTATTTCGAGTTTCGATAGTCCTATTTTTGACTCAGTTATTTATACTGAATAGTTGATGACGTTAACAAATAATTTTATGTCAACAGTGATTCAGTGTCATTGATGTTCATTTCTGTATTTCAAATAAAGATACGAAATATTGTCTGTTTTTGATTTGAACACCGTAAAACGATGCATTTAGAAATTATTGAAGCAAGCTCTCCATAACTTGCCAAAAATATCTTCAAAAATTGCAATGGCCTTATTATCCTTTTAAGCATAATTACACATCTCTTTCTTTCCAAGATATTACCTAAAACGAAACCATATACACTTTTAACCTATCTAAATTATCATGAATGAGTTTGTGTATCAACGGAGCACAATCTTTGTACTTCTCGTAGCTAATACGAGGACAATTACAGCAATTAATCATATGCGCCATCAGGTAATCAATACGTTTGTTTATCATCTGAACACGTGTCAGAAACATGTCTTAAGAACTACAGACCACTCGAGTATATCAAATCATCAATCACTGTGATACCATATCTCAGTGTATCGGAAACGCACTGAATTTACTGCAAATTTTTCAGTTTAAGAAACAAAAATGTATGTCGGTTATCACAAAAAATATCGGATAAGTTGGTAATGTGTTACGTTAAATTATTCGCACATGTATGCGTTTTATTTTTATGCATAAAAAAGATATTTATATGGATAATTATCATTAAATTGTGTAAATATTTTATAATTAAAACATTTGCAATTTCGCAAATAGCTTATGCTCTGGCGATCGATTGCAAATTGAAGGAACAGAAAGGAACTAAATGAGGAACTTCTAATTTTTGTCTTCTGGTCTTTATGCCGAGATAGTTGGAATCGGCTCAATATATTTTCTTCCATTTTTATCTGCAAAACGAAATCCCACCACAACCTCACTTTTCTCTCATATTATTCCTCACATAGTCTTTTCTGTGGTCTGCCTCCTTATTACCACCCGAAGAAGAAATAAATAAACATGTAATTGTAACTTATGTTTCCTAGTTAAGTTTACAACAGTAATAATAATTAAGAGTTCTACCTACCTACTTTACATTATCTAAATCGTGTCGGAGAAAATCTCAACTGAACTCAAGGCTGTATCAACCAACAAAGTTACGCAAACATACCTATTTTAGTTTTTTAGTTTATCTTAAAAATGTTTTATTCTGAAACTACTTGAGTATCTGTATTATATCCTTGTGTGAATTGGATTTGACAATGTATCAGTAACTTGTGAATCACACTTTACCGATTAGAGTCCTGAAAATAGGTTTTAGAGAAATAAATATAGAAGTGACGTGAATATCTTAATGTTATTTATTGTGCCTACACGCGTGTGTATTGATGACTAGTCTGGTCATGTCATGACGTTTTCAAAATGTCTACTGATAAAAAAAGAAATAAAATTGTGACATCACACTGTGTTAAGGGTAAGAACGCCGACATATTTGTGTAATGTACACAGACTATTTTGTGTTTATAGATAAAATTACAAAACGCGATAATAAAGATATAACTGTGACATTATAATTAATATAAAAATTAAAAACTTGACAATCTGGTTGAGGATTAGCGTAATCACATCGTAAAAATAAGTAGGCACAATGGGTTGCTAAAACTAGTCTGTGAATGTTTTATACTCTTTGATAAAAATAACCTTGCACTTACATTGATTCTTTAGACAAAAAGAGCGAAAGTCCAAATTCATAGTATTTTTAATTTTTACTTTAGTATACATGACACGTTTATTTTCTTTTCAAACTATAAGTTGTATGATAATATTTTACATGGCGTCAAGTTTTAATCTCACATAGATTAACGCTTTAAATTCTTTAAAAGATAGAAAAATGTTAATGCGTGAAGCTATTATCTTTTAATACTTAAAGCTACTCTTTGATAAATAGTCTAGTAACCGTATTAAATTATTTACACTAAAACAATGGTGATTACAAAATTAAAAATTAAAAAATATAGGCCTACGGGTGAAAGTTAAAAATTATGAAAAATCTACTCTTTGATAACAGATTTCATTTAAGTAAGGTTAGTTTTAAATAAATGACGTTTACAAGAAAACCCCGTAAAATTTTAACATTCTGATGTTACAATAAATATTTGAACGTCGTCTTAAAGATAAATTGTTATCAAAATCTTCACAATCAGGTACATACATCATCATTCATCATCTGGTTGACGTCCAACTAAACTGATTCTGCGTGCCATTTTGTTAAACTAACTCGCCTAGGTAACATGTGTCTTGGAAAATAATATTGTACCTAATCTGAGGGTATTTTGTAAACGTCACTATTTGTAAGTAGGTAAGCTTTCATTGATCTCGTTGTGATTACGTAACGGTATATATAGTACAGCGGTAGTAGGATTGTGTTGTGTTAGTACTATAGTCTTTAAGTTAACTTCTCAATTCTTAGCACTTGTATCTTACTCTTAAAAATTCAAACGGTAATGATAAAGTTATTTTTGCAAATTCAAAATAATGATTTGTTTTGCACCGTATCTCTATGTTTGATTTATGTAATCATTACACTTTCTTACTAAAGATTAAGAATATTAACTTACGTATATCGTAATCCCAGTTAAGCCTACTATCACATACATAATAACATAAAAAACTTGCATCAATCAAAAATATCTGAAGATATTATATAATTTAAAAAAAGCGACTCGATTGACGATAACTTATCATTCCAGCAACGTACAGTATTCAGTATATCGGTGGACGTGATTCTATCAGTATTAATGAACAGAATAGTGATTTTACAATAAGATGTGTTTAAAAAGGAACAGTGAAAAACAAAAGTGATTATGACAGTGAGGTGACGAGAACTCCGGCCGGTTGGCTGTGGTTGTGAAGCTGAAAACATTCCCCTACTAAAAATTTTATCCAAGGGCCCGGTGGATACAAGCAAGGATATCTGCAAAATGACCAAGGGCCCTCGGAAAGTGAAGCTAGTCATTGTAGTCAACAATAAGAAAGAGTGAGTATTGCCATATTATCCTTTACTGTAATTATCTCAAGGTTTTATGTGATCGTTATGATTTGAATTGTAGAAACGTTTTTTGACTCTTACGATTAGTTATTGAAATACAATCAGATAATTTCTGAGAATCAAGTAATGTGCCAGAAGTTTCTACATTTCAAATTATCTTACATTAATTATGTTACGTTATTATTTTCTCCAAGACATAGAATCGACTAATTTTGTTACGAGTAACAAATTACATAGTAGTTTTCTTTTGACTGTTCCCCTGCAAAAAGGTAATAAAACGATGTATTTCAGTGCTAAACCATATCACTATTATAATAATCGTTACAAGTACTAAAGAATCCACTATACCATTTTGAAAAATTATAAAAAATACATAATTAAATGAACGACAAACCAGTCATCCTTGGAAGCTGTCATCGCAGCGGATACGAGCCATTTTCTCCCTATTATTGTGGGCAATTAAGATGATTTTCCGATAGCATTAGCATATAATGGGCTACGTCGGTTCATTCATGGTTTCCATTCAAGACATTTGTAGTAGGTAGTTGCGTATGTTCATTGTATGTTGGGACTGTGACGTAGATGCTCTTAGTATTTCTATAAAAGTACTAAAGAACCTAACAAAATCTAATTACTTGGTCATTTTGTAAGCAATCCTAGTTTTAGAAGGTCTGTGCCCATTCATCGAGTGTTATTACCTTGTTTAATTATGAATTTAATTGTGGCTGCTAATTAAGATCGTTTTACGTTGCTTTACACGCAACGTCAATATTTGAAAAGCCGTTCTAATTGAAATTTATTGATAGAAGAGAATTAAAGAAACAAATCTCATCAAAAATCGAGAGTCATGGTCCTAGGTTTTTCTGCATATGTGCATTTAAATCTTCACTGTGATTGTAAAAAATATTCCATGAACGTAAAGAATCTAAAAATAGTTTTAGTAATTAATAGCTGATTGGAATCCAATGGATAATGCGTAGCAAGTATTTTATGTTAGTGTTATGTTATTATGAGGGTGCTATCTGGGTCTAGGTTCAATTCAGGGCCAGTCGCCATAAGTGGCTGTAATCTAATGAGAGAAAAAATCCTTTTCCGTTCTTTTATTTCACAGTATGGAAACTTATGGGACGTCTAGTTTCATTTTACTTTAAGTCAGTAGTTCAAATGTATTCAAATACATGTTTTAATGGGTTTTCAGATACTATTACAGAAGTCAGAAGTTTAAGTTATTACAAACATAGATAATACACGAAATTCTTACTAAGAATAGGCATGTAATGTTATTATTTGTAAAATATTAAATACCAATAACAAAACAGTCCAAAGCCGACGTCCATAAGTAGATAGATAATAAAGAGATTACCTACAATATCGAGCTAATTATCAGATCGAACAAAAACGTTGATTAGATGTAATTATCAAAATATTACCACATGTTAGCAGGAAAAAAGTTTTGCACAATCACGATTTGGATTTTGATTTATTGATGCCTTAAATGTGGCGCCACTTCTGTTCTATACCTACCACCACGTTGTATGATTTGTTATCTCAGCTTATGCTAAAGACAAAATGAAATATTTTTTATATATCTACACACATGTAGTACAGCCACCTATTTCTCAATCACTACCACTTTAAAAGTAGCAATTATTTTACAAGTTAAAGTGGTTTGAGTCCAAATACCTTTTTCATGTCAAAGAACCAAGCATTTCTCGAAAATGGAATGCCAGTAAAGCTTTTTATTCTACCCAGGGCCGCGCCGCCCCTGTGTGCGAAGTGTGCGGCGCACACAGGCGCCAAGACAATAGGGGCGCCGTGTCGCGCCACCACCTCTACTTGAATTATTTTTGTTACCTTAATTATTATATTTTTGGTAGTAGAGTATCGATAAGTAAGTAGGCCTTGTATACAACAAAACTTATATTACGCTTATTAAACAAGTCTCTCAATATTTATGTTTATTATTAATCACGTTTATGGTTTCATTTTACACTTAGGGGTTTAGTTTACATTACTTACGAGTTACAAGATCAACGTTAAAACGGCGGCAGATCTTTTGAACCACAGATAAAGTAGGTACCTACTAGTTATATTGAATCATAAAGGCGCCGACTTTGTATGAGTAAGTATGAGTGAGTTTGTGAACGCAACCCGATGCGATGCGTGCGAGGCTATAGGAGTAGGGTCACAGGGATTCCCCGATTTTAACGAACGAGAGAGTCAAGCTAAAACAAAACAATTGAACAATCATTTGATTGAAAGTGTGTGTAAGGTGTGCATTGAACTTTTTACTGACTTTAAAAAAGGAGGAGGTACGTATGTTCGGCTGATTGTTTTTTTTTTCAGTACTCCGCCATATGTGAACCGATTTCGAAAATTCTTGTTTTGTTTGAAAGGGTATACTCCCGAGATGGTCCCATTTCCATGAGGTCAGGATCTGATGATGGGACCCAAGGGAAACCAAGGGGAACTTTTGAAAATTCTATGGGCGAGTACTGCGTCTATTTTGTTTTTCAATTACGATTTTTAAACACTACAATTTGATAAGGGTCTGGATTTGACCTGATGATGGAGCCGACAGACAGTCGAGGGAACTCCTCGGCGGTTTATATTAACTACCTTGTGTTTGTACTAAATTAATCAAGCCCAAGCATAGGGTAGTTAATAAAAACAGCTGAGGAGTTCTCTCGATTGTCTGTCGGCTCCATCATCGGGTCGACTCCAGACCGTTATCAAATTGTAGTGTTTAAAAATCGTAATTGAAAAACATAATAGACTCATTACTCGCCCCTAAAATTTTCGAAAGTTCTCCTCGGTTCCTCTCGGTTTCCCTAGGATCCCATCATCAGATTCTGAGCTCATGGAAATGGGACCATTTCGAGAGTATACCCTTTTAAACAAAATAAGATTTTTGGAAATCGGTGTACAAATGGCGGAGTAATGTGCGAACAAACAAAAAAAATCAATCAGCCGAACATAGCACCTCCTGCTTTTTTGAAGTCGGTAAAAAAGAGGCGCTCCATCGATTCCGCACACAGGCGCTGCCGGGTGTCGGCGCGGCCCTGATTCTACCTGACAATGGCAACTTTGGTGTCCTCATCAATATCCAATGGTTGCATCCAATGTGGATTCCCTTTTTGTAACCCTAAAGTTTCCTAAATAACCATATGAACGATTTTTTCTAATTGATAAAAATACTCCCTAAGTATCCTCAATGAAACGCTTTGTTGCGTGATGATACTAGTGTCAGTGCTGAGAACATCGTCTAGCTAGATGTTGGCCGTGTCCGGTATGAATGAGACATTAGTATGCAAGATCTCTATCGCGAATCATGTAACATGAAGTTACAAGCGGAAGGCGGAACTTTCGTAACCTCGTCAGATTGAATGAAGCAATTTGAAGAAGATAAACAGCTGAAGATTTTCAAAGCAGCAATCATGATAAAGTAGCCCTAAATGTTGATATACCAATTTTCCTAGTCGCTTTTGCAACAGCCATTGATGTAAACAAGGTTGTCAACAAGGCTGCTCTGGTCATAACAAACATTTAAACATTATTACACGTGTGTCATTTAATTCACCCCTAAGCCGTTTAGACAATGATTCACACTCAATTTACCATTGAAATCGTAAACTTGTACAAATGAGCAGTAATGATTACGGTACGATACGGAAGCGTCACGCCACAGCGGACTGGCCAGTCTCTCACGCGATTTGCGACGTCCTTGGTGATCGGAAGAGCGTCATTTGCACTACTGCCAAGGTCGATTGGCCGTGAGAGTTCAGACTATATGTATATGGACGATAATGCACTCAATGACATAGCGGCGAAAGTAAAAATTATTGAAGCCTTTTTTCACGGATTTTGTAAAATGCTGTATTGCACTTGTAGGCAACAATTAAGTACTTATACTATAGACGAAGTGAAGACAAATAAGGACAATGAAGAAATTAAAATAATTAACTCCGCGAAAATGGCTCCAGTATTTAATTTCTTTAACTGTGTGTAATAAATGTTACCCACAAGATGAATTAAAAAGTTCATAAATGTATTCACAATCCCTGACATCATTACCATCCTTGCATCATAGGATGTCACACAAAGATTACTTGGATCAATTAAAACGATCCGCCTCAATTTATCCACTGTTTTTAAAATGGTCAGTAGGACGAAATGTCATGATCGCGTGTTTCTTGCCATTAACCGATTATTACGACGATATTTTAATCATAAGCTGCAGCGATGAGTCGTGAAACTTTGTTTATCGAGTCTTAGTAATCTGCCGTATTATGACGTATAAAAATCTGCATTAGATTTGACGTAAGTACAATTCCATTACTCGAATTAGCTAAATGTATCAAAAAAATTGACAATTTAACGTATTAATTAAGTACTATTCAATCTAATAAATGTTAAAACAAGCTTAGAGCAATCATATCATCACACACATATCAGCTTCAAACATAATAGTGATTTTCATTCATAAAGTTTGTCTATCTACCTTATCTTCTCATTCCCATAGCAACCACTCACTCATTACTTGCACCGTACTACAAAATATGATTTAATTGCCATTATGTCCGAACGGTGGGAACGATACCGTTTGGTCACATCACAACCCACGTTTTTATTGTGTATATTTTTAGTACATTATTAGTGAACTCGTGGACTTTGAAAGGTTATTTCTGTCCTACATTTTGTCATGATTAATTATGGCAATCATCGTAATCTGTTACTTTATCATTTTTGATTCAGTTTCGAAGGTTTCTGTCTTTATGATGTGTACAGTTTTGCTTCTTGCGCATTTATAGCAAGCGCCATCTTTGCAGGCGCCAACTTAACCAGCTAAATGTAGAGAGTCTTTGTGTGATCATCCCTCCGTTACCATAATACCTAGATCGTAAACAATCTTCACTTTGACTACACGGTTGGTGCGGTGGCTGGGCAACCGGCTGCCGTGTCGCGGGTTCGATTCCCGCACGGAACAA